TCCATTCCTCACGGGACGAGGCCACCCCTCGTGTAAAATACAGATTTTCTTCTCTCTCTCTCTCTCTCTCTCTCTCCCCCCCTCCCCCAATTATAAAGAAGAAATAGGAGAGGGGAAATATAATATATAGAGAGAAGTGGCAAGTCTGCTACATTCAGCTTTTGAGCAATTAGAGAGTGCACTGGAGTCATTCCCGATTTCAGATGGAGCAAATAGGAACAGAATCGGGTTCTTTGCCTAGCCAACTGTATCCATTCCACTACATACTCTGATAATTTTCTTTTAATTGTAATGTCACCAGGAGTGGCTGCTATTAAAAACTCAGCCTTTTTCAGTATTTACTACACACCAGTGTCTGGGGATATTGGAGTGTTCCCCCAGTTTAGAATGTAATAGCTGTGCTAACGGTGTGGCAACCCTTGGCAAATGTTGATTTCTTCAATGGCTTCCAGTCTAACAAGGGGCAGGCTGGAGACTCTTGCCTACATGCTCGGGGTTTTACTGATCGCCATATTTGGGGTCGGGAAGGAATTTTCCTCCAGGGTAGATTGGCAGAGGTTTTTCGCCTTCCTCCACAGCATGGGGCAGGGATCGCCAGCCGGGGGGGTTCTCTGCCAATTGAAGTCACTAAGCCACAGGATTTGGGGACTTCAACAGCAGAGTCAAGGGAAGGGGTAGGGACGGCTTTGTGACCTGCAGCATGCAGGGGGTCAGACCAGATGATCATAATGGTCCCTTCTGACCTTAAAGTCTATGAGACTAATTCTATCTGCATTTTATTTCAAAATCCCATAATTTAGAGATACTTGTAAATGCATCCTCCAATTATTTATTTCCTATAGGGTAATTGTATATTATAATTAAGGTTACATTTTAGTCATGGGTATTTTTAGTAAAAGTCATGAACAGATCACGGGTAGACATGACTATATATCCCTGACTAAAATTTGGGCCGGGGGTGCTCGGGGGGCAATCCAGGGGTGCTGGGGGGGGCAGATGGTGGTGTGCGGCCTGGGACCCCCGTTGGCACTGGGGGGAGGTGGCGACAGCATGAGGCTTGGGATCCCCGCTGGTGCGGTTGGGGGGGGGGGGAACGGGTGGCAGCTTGCAGCTCAGACCCTTGCTGGCGCTGTGGGGGGTGGGTGGAGGGGCTTGCAGGCTCCCTACCCAGCTCCATGCAGCTCCCCAGAAGTGGCCAGCATGCCCCTGTAGCTCCTAGCAGGAGGGAAGGCCGGGGGGCTCCGCGCGCTGCCCCGGCCATGAGCTGCGGGGATGGCGCCTGCAAGCAGGGGGGCAGCATGCAGAGCCCCTTGGCCCCTCTGCCTAGGAGGTGCAGGGACATGCCAGCTGCTACCAGGGAGCCCCTGCCCCAAGGTAAGCGCTGCCCAGCACCCCAATCCCCTGCCCCAGCCCTGACCCCCTCCCACACCCAAACTGCTGTTGTTGCTGCTGGCCCAGGGGCTGCCGGAGTGTTTGGGCAGTCCCTGGGTCAGCTGTACCAGCCGCTGCAAAAGTCACTGAGGTCACGGAAAGTCACAGAATCCCAGACTTCTGTGACCTCCATGACAGACACGCAGCCTTAATTAGGATCAGACACTTGTGTCACTTTGCCTAAATTTAAGGAAATGGCCAGCTTTTAATCCTTTAATTTACAGTATTACTCTGTCACTATATTAAAGTTATATTTAATTTGTTTAAAATAAAAAATATTTCCAAATAAATTTATTGTGGCTTTATTGAGACTAAGTCAGCTCTTGAAGGATTAAATCATCTTTTTCAAGCTAAATCTTTTTTTTATTTCTTTAAAAAGTACAAATCTATTAACAGTGTTAGTGCTGATAATTACACAAAGACCATCTACAATTTGCCATTCCACGAATAAAAATAAAGTCTAGCTTGATCATTTTCTATATTTCGTGCATAGGCCAAGTTTTAGACAGTAGTATGTATGAGCAGCTGTGGAGACAATGCAAAGAATTCATCAATGCTGAAACAAAATGTATTTTTCCCCCTTTTAGGTCCTGCTGTAAAACGAAGCATGAAGCCAAACATACTTTTTACTGAAATCACAAGTAAGCCAGCAGTATACTAAATAAAGTTTGCAAAAGAGAAAAGAAAAAAAGTTTAACTACCCTTTAAGAGCAAACACTGATGTAGCTCAAGCGAAAACCAAATGAATGCAATGACACAGAACTTGTCTGTGGGCCTGATCCAAAACTAATTGAAGTTGATTTAAGTCAGTGGGAGTCTCTCTGTCTGCTTTGGAACAGCCCTCACTTTCCTCCAATTGCCACAATGATTTAGGACCTAATTCCTCAAAGTACTTAAATATGTGTCTATCTTTAAATATGTGCAGGTTGTTGTAGCTGTGTTGGTCCTAGGATATGAGAAACAAAGTAGATGAGGTAGTATCTTTTATTGGGCTAACTTCTGTTGGTGAAAGGTACAAACTTTTAAGCCATGCCATGCAGTCAAATGAGAAACGTGCAGTGGGACTGTCACAGACTGATTTCATACTTTAAAGAGCCCTCATCTTTCAACCCTGATTTGGGGATCAAAGGAAGATTTAAAAATTCTCTGGCTTAATTAGACGTATTTTGCCCTAGGGAGGGCATGCTTGATAGCTCTATGGCAAGACTTTGGTTGTACATTGGGCCATGCAATCTAATGACAAACATGCAATGGCAATATCATAGAGTGATTTTATACATTAAAGTGCCTTCATCCTTCATCTCTGACTTGGGTATCAAAAGAAATCTACAAACTCTACAGGAAATGTTGAAAGCAAACTGAAATAGGTGAGGTTTGATTTAGTGGTTTATATCTTTGCAAGTTTTGTAGTGGTGTGAAACCTCTTTATTTTGTAGCCAAAAATTTCCTCCTCTTCTCATTTATTATTACTGCGGAACTGTGGCAGCATGATCTTCACTGTACCCTCTTGTGGCAGTGCAGCTGAGGCTCTACCTCTGATTCCCCAAATTCACATTCTTCCCTTATTTTAAGGGTCAGTCAAAATGCCTGCATTCTCGACCATTTGAGATAAGCTCACTGTCTTGGAGTACAGTTACAGCCACTCTGCCTCTCTCACATCCTTGGAGTTTCTGTGGTCTGGTGTGGTGACTTGGCCCTCCGGCCAGGTCACACTGAAGTCCCACCCCTTCTGGAGTATGCAGAGTCCAAACCAAATTCAAAGGAGCAAACCCTTCCATCTGCTTGGGCTCAGTCCGGAGCAGACTCTTCACCCCTTTCTCCAGAGGCAGCAAAAGTGGGAGCTGTGGGGGGCAGAAGGGGCTAGTGCCCCCACAGTGGAAATATTGTGGGGGCTCAGGTCCCATGTAAACTAATGCATGTGTGTGAGTGGTGGAGATGTGACCACAGGGGTGCCCAGGATCGGGATGAAGAGCAGGTAGGAACTGCTAGGACCCCTCTTTCTAGCCTGAAGCCAGTTGCCCCTGCCATCAAGTCTCAGTAGATCCCCTCACTCTCCCTCTGTTCCCCACATTCACAGAGAGCTTCCACTCCCAGGCTCTGCAGAGCTCCATCCCGGGACTTTCTTCCTGTATCCCAGCTTCTGTCAGGCTGCTGACCCTCAAGGCTTTCACTGTGGGGTCTTTTCCCTTGTCTGGTTCTCTCCAGACTGGGTTCTTTCCCTGGTCTACTCTAGGCCATCTGTCTGGAGGAGATTGTCTTTCTCCCAGGCCTACTTCAGGAGTCTCCCTTACCTCTGCTGCCCTCTCACTTCCAGGCCAGTCCCAGGTGGTAAGATACCATCTGCAGCTCCTCTGTGGTTCTTTTCCCAGCAAGAAGAAACACCAAACCACTTTTCTCTGCACCCTTCTTTCTAACTCTCCTGTCTTCTCTCTTTTAAGTTCCTCTCCTTCCCACCTGACTCTGCCTTCTCTAAGTGTACCAGCTGTTCATTAAAAAAACCCTTTCAGACAAACTTCCCAGATCAGCCCCAGCCAATTGTCTGGGGTGTGGACCAGCCCCACCCCCTTAAAGGCCAAGTCACCCCATGACTGAAAACCAAGTGTACTAGAAGCTTTTAAACTACAAATAGCCCTTTCTAGCTAGGGGGAGCAATACACTTGGATTGGTCTCTAAGAAGTGAAAGAAACTTTTCTCTTAGAATGGTGAGGAAAAATGCCCAACCAGAGGATGGTCCACTATTTCCTCCAGTTTCCACTGCTGTGTAGGTGGCCCTCTCAAAACTGTAGTCAATGGACTTTGGATCAGGTGGGCAAACATGTTATCTTGTAACTATAGACCTGATTCAGCAAAAACACTTAAGTATATTCTTAACGTTACGTACATGTGGAAGTGCTATGCTAAACTGAGCCCTGAATGAAGAAATATTATTGAATCATAAATAACATTCAGTTGATTATACAAACTACCTGGGAGGTAGGACTGGGCTAAAAGCTATAAGATGGACTCCTCCTCTGGCCATTTTGTGTGGAGATAAGCACCTAAGCCACCTGACTCTGGGATGGGGGTTCCCAGTAGTGGATCTCTAGCATAGATAGGCACCTTCCTGCAATCTGGACTTGGAGGCATATCTCTGAGAGTGGGGCAGGGCTTTGCATATACCCCTCTTATCGGCATCATCTCCATTGGCTACTTTAGGCAGCTCCCCACCTAGCATGATGGCTTTTGTGAATTCTAAGGCACCTATTTCTCTCTATTCATTGTATAGGGAGCCTAGGAACCTAGTCCAGGCTTTGTGGGTACAGGCATTTTTTAAAACCGCCAGGTTCCTATCTGCATCTTTAGGAACTTACTGTTAAAAATATGTTCCCCCCCCTTAGCCTAAATTCCATGATATTTAGGGTCCTAAATCTCTTAAGCACTTTGAAAATTTTAACCCAGATTTGCAAAAAAAAGAGGTTATGTATTTAGCTGATGCTTCCATGAGATATGAGATGATGACACAAAATAAGGCTAGGGTGGACTGATTGGGGCTAGAGCAGGTGTCTTAACACATATTTGTAAAGCACTTTCTAAACTTATGGAGCCTATATCGGACTCTTCATTATTATTTTTAATTAACAATAGTAACTGCACAGCTATAGAAACTATCTTCTCAACATTCATATTCCTGCTGGATGCTATTAAACCAATGAACCACAAGATGGCATAAGGGATTTATCTGCACAAACAAACTTGCAAAATTCCTTTGTCAGTTTCATTTTAGAACTGTTAAATATTTAAGCTATAATTACTTCAGTTCAGAATAATTTGTTACGGTTCACTGCTTGCAGGATAAGTTAACATCTATTATGTTTCATTTTTGTTCAGTTATGTTGTTGGTTCATGGAACTTTAAGGAGACAAAGTAGAGGTTTATTTTTAAAAAGCAGATAAACTACAACAGCAAAAGTAAAATACAGTGATTTAAATGCTTGAAGAATACTTGATTAAAGAATGAAGAAAATGTAATCAGTCATATTACACGCAAAAAACTAATAATGAAAACAGGATTTGACTTCATAGTTTTATTTACAGAAGTCAGCAAGTACGTTCACTAGGGTAACAGAGTCTTATGGAAAAGTCAGAATTAACATGTAAATTAGCAAAACAAAATGAATGCAGGACAACTTGATAACTATAACAAAAATATAATCTATGAACTGTTTTAGAAATGTCAATATCAATGCCAAATATTTTATATAACGGCTGTGTAGTTAAATCAAATTTCAGTCCCAGTGTCACACCAACTTTTGTGAAAAAAATGACCCAATTTTATATGTGCTCTTACTTCTGCAACTGAAAATGTGAGATGACAAAAATAAAGTTTTTTCCTCTTCTTAACCATAACTGTTCCTTAGTTAGCACATATAATAAACAGCTGTTTGTGAGTGATGTTAGAGAGAATTGGTCTGGACCCAAACATAAAGAGGAATAATGTCCCAGCTTTTGTTATTGTCATGGCAATTACCTATGTTTGCTCCTGTATGACGACTGGTCAGACTAATTCTCATCTTATATGGAAATAAGCATAAATGATTAAGAATGGGAAATCCATTCAGAAGTGTGCATCTATGATCCTTTGCTACCCAAAAAGTGCAATGCAAAGGAGAAAGAATGAAATCCATTCCACCCTCAGGATTTGGGGTCCAGGGCCGCCCGGGGGGTGGGGCAAGTGGGGCAATTTGCCCCAGGGGCCCTCACGAGAATATAGTATTCTATAGTATTGCAACTTTTTTTTTTACAGAAGGGGCCCCCAAAATTGCTTTGCCCCAGGCCCCCTGAATCCTCTGGGCGGCCCTGTTGGAGTCTGTGAACGTCAAGTGCAAAGCAGCTGGTGTGTGCAATCCATCCTCATCCAGGGCCAGACTGTGAGACTACTGGGTAGTCCCCAGCAATTGCTATTCCAGCCTTCTGTTAGATTGTGAATTTGACTTTATGCCCACACAGGGAGTAAGAGCCACCCCTTACATCTCTGTGCATTACCTAGAGCTTGGGTCTGGGGTGCCCCCTACTTACTCCCTCAAACTTGGAATACAGGGACAGGACTAGAAATATTGTCGTTTGCTGCTGATGCAGGTCAGCAACAAATTATTAAGCTCCTGGAGCAAGGGTGGGAACTATACTTTAGAGGGGCGGTTCTAAGTGCCTTCAAGGGGTATTCCTGTACTAATGCATTTTACAGCTTCAGGATTGTGTCTAAAGACACAATCTAGCTCCTATTTCTTGCTCATAGTGTTGAACAAACAAACTACAGGCTTAATTCTTAAGTACATGGGCAGCACTCTATTAACATTTATTTTAATCATCTCTATATTTAGGAGAAAAAGAAAAAGTAATTGGATCACAGGTATGGATAATTTCTCTCATTAATGACAATTTCATTGCAAGTCTTTTTTATTGAAAAAATATTAACAATATTAGGGGCTTGATTTTGAAAAGTAGGGTCCATTTTTGCAGGCACCACTTTGTGCACCCCAAATAATTATACCCACAAATGTTGCTTTTTAGATTTCTGAACCTGGAAGTCTGATTGCTGCACCTGTAAACCGTGCCCTTGTAGATCCAACTGCACCTGCAAATCATGCCCACAGACATCTAGTCATGTGCTTGAACTATTTCTGACACCATAGCATTAGCCCTTGCAATTAACAGCAGGTTCACTTATTTGTGCTCACAAAAAATGGAAGCTGAGTTGGAAGTCTTTTTAAAAATCAGACCCTTTGTCATAGCTAGATATGTCTGTGTGTTATGCAGAAATAAAGGCTTAACGAGTTTTGTGCTTGTGAAGCCTAAACATTCTTCAGTTTCCAGCCTCCTTTTGTAAATAAAAAAAGAGTTCCATGTGCTTATGTTTCCTCTCTCTTTCAGAACCCTTTGCCCCCTCCAAGGTAAGTGTGCTAAGATAGAACATGCATGCATTTCCTAAATAGCTTTTGGGGGGATGGTTAAGTAGAGTCATGATAAGAAAACTAGTGCACAAGCCCACCCCAATTTGTCATGTCAATAAGATGTTTGAAAGTGAATTTACAGGTTATCGTCTAATTAGTACTATTGGGACATTCCTACATTCTAAAACTAAGTTGGGTGCTAGGCAGAACAAAGGATTAAGCTCAGAAGCTTTGTACCTAGGGCCCAGTCCTGCATCACTGAAATCAATGGGACATTTGCCATTGACTTGAATGTGAGACGTATAAGGCCCCTAGTCAGGAAACCTGGGGTCTGATCCAGCTCCCACTGAACTCAATGGAAAGATTCCTATTGACTTCCATGATTGCTGGATGAAGCCCCAGGGTTCTGTTCAATAGAACAATATTACATTTTAATGCCTGTTAACATTTTCCTTATATTAATTTCCTTCATATACTACAGACCTAAATCCTGCTCTTGTGGAACTTCAATGGGAATTTTGTCATTTACTTTCATGAGAAATGGATTGGGCTCTACTCTGCTAATATAAAACAATTTTTTTATCTTGTTATACAAAATCAATTATTTTCCCTTGTTGGTCCTTTTGTCTTCATCTAAGATTAACAATCATCATAAATAAAATATACCTTTGAAAGGACTGCCAAGCTAATTTTACTACACATATAGTGAATGCCATTAAAATTGTAAATAGCTTTGCAAACCATTAGTATTGCTGCAGTATTCATAATATTCCCTAAATTAAATATAGGGAATACAACAAATACTACAGTAAATGTATATACTGGTAAACTCAGAGTTGTAGAAATGTAGTGATTTCAGTATTCAGCGCTGTTTAAATATTAGTATATTTGTTATTGTTTGTGCTGTGGTAGTGTTCATCATGGACTGGGACCTCATTGTGCTAGGCCCTGTACTGTGTCCTGTGCATGTAATGGTAGTATTGCATCTAGAGGTCCTGCCTAAGATCAGGGCCCTACTGAGCTAAGCATTGTCCAAATATATAATAAGAGATACTTCTAATAAAATTCCAGTGCTCTACATGTGCAACCTGCAATTACTAGACTGTTTTGTGTCCTCTTTACATCCTAATAGTTCTTCAAATTCCATTTTTGACTTTAGGCCTCTTAAGACACTTCCAAAGAAATATCAGCCACTTCCCCCAGAACCAGAGAGAAGCAGCCAGCTGTCTCACACAAGGAACATATTTAGTCAGGCTCACACCTTTCCAATGTCAGCAAAGAACACCAGGTAATGGTTACCAAGCATGTTTGTTTTATTTTCTGTTCACCTTGCCAAGGACAAATTTTTGCGTCTCAGATACATTGTGTAAGAAAGCCCTGAAAGTTTGAAATAGATCAAAATATGAAATCTGGACCCCTGACTGCATTAAAGAAAATGCCATTCCTTTAACAGCCATGAATTAATTTTATATATGAGTAGCTTGTATTAGCTTAATCTGATACTAACTCTAAAGCAAAGTAACAGAGCCAATTAGAAAAATGGGAGGAATTTTCATGAAAATTCTTGTGAAAATTTTGTCCCACTTCTTTCACTGAAATTTTGAAACTGTCCAGCCATCTCTAAGTAAAATAATTGTATTTGTTTAGAATAGTGGACACAGTGGTATGCAAGCAAAGAGAAAGAGAGAAAAACACAATCCCTGCCCCAAGGATCCTACTGTGTGGAGAGTAGTTCAGTCACATTTCCAGTCAGTTCTTGGCAGTCCTGCTGAACAGGGTGACTATATACCACATTTTGGCTGGGACAGTCCCCTTTTTAAGCCCTGTCCTGTACTTTTTTTTTTCCTTTCTTCAAAAAGAGGCATTTGTCCCATTTGCTCTTGCTGACTTGGTCAGTTGGCAAGAGCAAATGGGACAAATGTCCACTTTTGTCAAAAAAGTGGTGTGCAGTATGGAGGAATGTGTTGGGGGAGGGGAGAAGGCGAGCGGAGATGCCAGGCCGTGCAGGGAAGAGGCAGAGCTGGGAGGAGGCAGCATTCCAGCATGCACGGGGCAGCAGGGTTCCAGCCGCTGGGGCAAAAGCCTCCTGAAGGGGCCCCTGCAGGGTTCCAGTGATAGGCAACAGCTCCCTGTGCGGGAGGGATGCAGGGTTCCAGCGACAGGCAACACCCTCGTGGGTGCAGAGGGGCTTAGGCAAGCGGCTGTGGGTGTCCCATTTTCTCTTTGAGAAATATGGTCACCATACCACTGAACCTTCCAATAATAATGCCAACTATGTTTAGTTTCAAGGGAACACAGAGTGCCAGCTCATTTTACAAAGGCACCATGGCCCCGACCCAGCAGTCCATCCCTTTTCAACAAAATACTTAAGCTTAAAATCAATGGAACTTAATCGTGTGCCTAACATTAATACTTAAGTGCTTTGCTTCATAAAAATGAACTTAAAGAACATGCTTGTCTTTTTCTAAATGGTACCTAGATGTCTAGGTGATTTTAATGGGAGTTAGGCAGCTAGATGCTTTGGAAAATTCTACGAGGCACTTATCTGCATCTTTAGGTGCATAAATACATTCAAAAATCTGGCCATAAATCTGTTTTTAAAATGGGACTTAGGCTTTGTCCATCAAAAAAAATTCATATGTAATCAAAAACAGATTTAAGCTCTTCAGTGACAAAAGGGTAGGAAATCAATTCAGTTTTTGCACCTAGTCCAACTAGTACATTAACTTTTATTTATTTCATATAAGAAAGCTTGTAGAGCCACTCCCCCTCCCACCTATACATGACAGGTCACCTCTTCGGCAGGTACATCATCCACTGACGTCAAAAGGAGCTATTCCATTTTGCACCAGCTGTAGCTCTGGAACAAAGAGCCAAAAGGCTGAACTTTAAGCTCATGCATAAATCCATTTCTATTCAGCAAAGCACTTCACTAGTACATTTACTTCAATAGGAGTTAATTGCTTTGCTGAATCAGGGCCTTGATGCCTGTTGTCCACTTCTCTGTACTTGTTTGTATCTTGGGTTCCCCTTCTGCGGGAGTCAACCTAAGTTAGTCAACGTAGCTTAGGTTGACTTACCGTGGTGTCTACACTGCATTGCGTCAACAGAAGATGCTCTCCTGTCGACTTACCTTACTCTTCTCATTCTGCTGGAGTACCAGAGTCAACCGGAGAGCGCTCTGCCATCGATTTAGCGGGTCTTCATTAGACCTGCTAAATCGACACCCACTGCATCAATTGCAGCAGCGCTAATCTACTGATAGTGTAGACATGGCCTCTATCTCTTCTCCTACTCCATTCATTCCACCTATCTTGAGCATTTCATGTTTTAAATGATTTTCATTCTTTAGGGAACATAAATTTACAGTTGAAATAAAAGTTAGTGATGTTTTTTGATAGGGTGAGAAAACTGTTTAGAATAAGTATACAGATCTCCACCATCACACGCACATACGTGCTCCCAAAATATAAACATCTCAAAAGGACGTTTCATTTCCATGATTAATTCCATTTATGTTACAGTTTTTATGGAAAACCATAACTTTTTTCTCCAATGAATTTATGTGGAAAATAACCAGCTTCTTAATTTATACAGCAGTAATAAACTCCTTACCATACCATGGGCGATTAATTTTACTTTGATAATATTAAAGTATTTAAGTACTTGGAATTTTTATTTTACAATAATGAAATGTTTTGCATTTATTTATTTCTTTTCTAGACACCTATCTGTTAAGGAGTTAAATGAAGTAAGTAGTAATCTTTGTATAAATTATCAACATAGAAAGTAAATTAAGACTACTACTACATTTTGTCTTTAAGCCACTGCTCTGTCAATGACAGATCAGTGTAAAATTACTTGCTTAAATGAGATTTGTACACATGGTTTAAAGTTATCTTCTTGAGCATTTAGATAAGAATGTGTCTCATAAATGAAAACTGCTGTAGAGGTCTATGAAGGTTCAGCAGTACATACACATAAAATTAGTAATTTTATTGCAGAAAAATATAAATTGTGCCCTTGTTCAACATATATTCCGAAAGACAGAAAACTGAAAACACAAGGATAATGGAGCTTGAAATAATAGGAAATTGCATTAATAAATGTTATAAAAATCAAGAATAAGTAATAACTTCTCTATAGTTGTGGGTTTTTTTAACCATCCTATAGAATTTAATAAAAAACATAATATCTACAATTCTATAAAATTCTATGGATGGTTCAAATCCATATAGAAAAGTTATTATTGTCTACTAAATCATATAGGTTTTTACAGTAATTTCTATATTATACGATTACATTTCTATAACATTACATTTTATAGGATTTTTCTTTAATGTATTTTATGGTGTTTATTCTTCAAAATGTTCAATTATCCTATGACTGGCAAACCTGATACCTGTGTAATAATGGTCTTTTTTAAAATGGGGAAATGAGGGACAATTGCAGCCCATACTGCCATGGGAGTGTTTGTGGACTTTGGATGTTTGCTGCTACTCTGATGTACTAACAGTGCCCATTGCCAAAGAATCACATCTGTCTTGGATTTCCCCACTATCCCATTCATCAAATAAACTTCCTTATTAAAGGTCTCCGATAAGAATGACTTAATTTGAAGGCTTGATTGTTCAGCCATAAACGTTTTATAATAATTTGAGGTAGAAATTGGGCTAGAAATGATCAAGAATACAAATTGTGGGAAGAGAGCTGAAATTTTCTAGTTCCAACCAAGGCAAAAATACCTTGAGAATATCCTCTGTCTAGGGTTTTGTTATTTCATCCTCTACTACCTGTACACAACAAGAGGGTGAGCAGATGAGATAAATACATAAATAATAATAAACTTCCAGAAAGATCACCTTCGGGGAAAATGATCATTTTTTATGTTATCCATATGGAGTT